CCCCCCCGCCCCCCGCAGAACCTCCAGCTGGTGCTGGCCCCCTTCCACAACCTCATGCCATCTGCACCGGAGGACGTCGGCGCAGATCCCGTCAGCCGGCTGTCCCACTCCCTCCAGCAACTGGACAGAATCGACTCCCTGAGCGAGCAGATCTCCTTCCTCGAGGAGCGGCTGGAGACGTGTAAGTGCCTGGAAGAAGCAGGGTTGAAGGATTTCGCTCCACCCACGCTGCCCACAGCGCTCACATGTGGGCCAGCGAGATCAGTAACACATATGCCACTGTTAATCTGTATCTCCTGCAAGCTCAGCAGCCTGTAATTAATGAAAGATGAACACAAACAGCCCATTAGCTTCATTTCAAAGCTGTTTCTATGGCTGCACCATCTGACCGCCCTTGCAGCGGCCAAAAATCGTAAGATCAGCGCACGGCAACGCGGCTCTGGGGCAGAAGCGGAGGGAGCCCGCTGCGCGCAGTGGGTCACCTCTCGCAGTCAGCACCCTCGCCGGCTGCCGTCCCTTGCCGTGCCGTTACAACGCAGCCCCCAGGAAAGAACCCCCAACTCCTAGGAAATGAACAGTCTCAAAAGTCAATCAGGAAAGTTTAGGGAGCGTGCAGAAGTTGGCAGATTTACGAGCCTGGGAAGTTTTAGGCATTTCTTTTTGAAGTCTATGCACCAGTCCTTTGCCGAGCAGTGGACCAGAGAGGGTCTCCTGAGCAGCAGACCCCGGAGGAGAGGCAGTGGTGAGAGCTGCCATGCGTGAAATGGCTGAAGGCGGGGGTCTTGCGTGGTGTGCTGCCCCGCGGCACCACAGAGACCCGGCCTGGAGGCGTGCGCAGCGCTCTCCCTGGGGCACTGCAGCTTGACTCCGAGCAGAGCACAAACCATACCAACACTTTATCGTGACAGGCAGCTCTTTGCAGCTTGCTTTCCCATTCAATAACTCCGGTCAAACATGCCCAGGAAGGAGGCATGGCCGGGCCAGGGGCTGGCGGCAGAGGGGGGGGGGTGCTTGGAAAGACTTCAGGGGAAAGGGCATTTCAGGGCCTCTCCAGTCCCAGTTCACTGCTTGCAGTAATGGCTTAGATGTAAAAGACTTCAAAGAACTTGTCTGAAGACTAAGTAGCTGCAAACAGACACTTAAAAACATCTCAGAAAGGGGTAATCATGAGAACCACGGAGCGTTCCAGCAGAGTGAGTTTCCTGGTATTGCGCTGTACGTGTTATTAGTGACGGCACTGCGGAATGCGGGCAGTATCACAAGGTAACGTGGATTTATTCCAAGGGATGACTCCAAAGTCCTGAAACTAACTTCTGCCAAGCCTGTTCTGGCAAGCAAAACTTGTTTTTGTCCCTCTCATGGTCTTGAAAGTCCCCGGAGGACACAAGACTGTCCCATCACGCTCCAGCAAGCCCTGGGGCTGGTGGGGCAGCCCATGGGGGGCTCAGTAACCATCCCCCTCCTGTGCCTGGTGAAGCGTTTCAGGACTGAATGCGAAGGTACAACTGCACTCTCCAGCTGTCTGCCACTGGGGATGTGTGTGAGGACTAGAAAACATCCTCTCTTTAAACCACCAGCGAAGGCACAGTCGGATCTCTTTAAGCCACCACCATTTCAGCCCCTCCGAGTCTGAATTCCCCCCAGCTCAACACAGGCTGCCAGTGCTCGGCTGTGCACGGCCCGCTGGCAGCACCCCAAACCCCAACCACACGCCCTGCACGGCCCCGTCCACCCCCGGATCTCCCCGGGCTCTGGGGACGTCGGTGACCCACTGCTGTCACACAGAGCCACGGGCTGCGTCTGAGCTGGGGACAGGCTGGTCCCAGCGCGTCGTCCAGGACTGCCCAGGCGAGGACCGCGGCACGCCGGGGAAGCGAGAGCGATGCTCCCGAACGCGGTGGGATGGAGCCAGCCTGGGGGGGGTTTGGCCGAGGGAAAGCAGCACGTGGGGGTGACAGTCACAGAGGCTGAAGTCAGCCTCTTCCTCCCCGGGGAAAGGGACAAGGCGAACCCAGGCTAACAACACTGGTGGACTGTTTGGGGTTTTGTTTTTCATCTTCTCAGGTTCCTGCAAGAATGAACTGTAGCCGAGCGCCCGAGGAACTGGAGCAAGCAGAGTGCAGCCGTAGCACCGACCTCGCTCTCCAGCCCCGGGGTGAGGATGAAGCCACATCATCGACGGGAGGGCACAGGGCAGCAGGAGGCGGCTGGTTTCCCATCAGCACCTCCTTCGTTTTCTCTTCCAACTCACCTTCTCAAAGGTCACTTCCAAACTGGACTCCGAGCCCTCAGCATCTCATCCCCTTCCTGCTGGAGCAGCAGAAAATAAATGCCTTACCTCGTGCCCCGACTGCCTGGCACAGCCGGGCAGAAGCTGTACGCGAAGCCGTGCGGTGCTGAGCTTTGCCTGGCTTTTACTTCGCGTTACCCTGGGACATCGTCTCCCAGCAGACAGAGCTGGCCCAGGCGGGACGGCTGCCCGTCCCGTGCTCCCCCTGCCCGCTCCCACCCAAGGAAGGTGGGGGCAAGGCCTGCGTTTGGGGGACGACGGCCAAGGACTTGTGGCAGAGGGGGCAGCCCCCTGGCAGGCATCGTGCCCGGGGATGGGTGCAGAGGTACCGCGCTGGCTGGGGACGCGGAGCGGGTGCCCATCCCCGCAGCGTCTGCTCTGCTCCCTGCACGGGCGCTGGGGGCTGGCTGCTGCCTCTCTGCTGCTCCGCTTGGCAGGCCCCCGCTCCCGGCAC